AAAACATATGTTTTCTTCAATATCAAAAAATCTGCATTCCTTTTTGGAATCTGAACTATAGTCAATTATGTTGTGGTTTGGAGATTCAGGGAGGGGCAGCGAATCACCATTCCTATCTGTATATCCTTGAGGTCCAGGCAAGCATTGTCTCAAGCGACATCTAATTCAACCATAATCTGTCCAGTTATCAGCCAAACAGTCAGGACAGGGCCAGCCAATAACACATTATTAAATCACCAGGGCTTAAAGCCAAAGCTTGATAAAGGAAACTCCACAAGCCCTTATAAAGCACCTTTGTTCTTTACACAAAAGGGGAACGTTCATAAATGGATCTTCGAAGACCTTTCAAGGCTTCAGCTCGATAGGTGGTAGCTGAAGCCATTCCTTTTTTCACAAATAATAGACTAAAGTGCTCCCACACAACAGTGCCTAGACTATACAGGCTTTACTGATAACCAGTTTCTCTTTTTGTCCCTTGAAATTTACCAGACCACACTGGTAAACAAGACAATGTCATGCAACTAGGACCTTTAACATCCACACTGCTGATGTGAATGGTGCATTTCCACCATTCCATTAGTCTCCAAGGCTGCTACTTTTATTAGCTTTCCCTTTCAGAACTATCATACTAAAACTGCCTTTATTTTATGCCACAAAGCTATCTCACCCATACATGACATTTCTACTAAACAGTGTCAAGGCATTAAGTTAACCAAGCCAACTCATACAATAACACTATTCATATATTGTATTAATAAAAGGCTGTGAAACAAAAGGGTGTCTTGTGGATGTGGGTGTCTCAAGTTCTGTACATCTATGTACAGAACTTCTGCCACATTGACAAATACGCTTTCAAAGATATGGAAACATATAAAAAACAACAATATTAAAACCTGATGCCGCAGACTCAAATTCAGCAGTTGTCTTAAAGGTCCCATGACATGCTTTTCCGGTTATTACTTGTCCCCTTGTGTGTTATGTAGCTTTTTATGCATGTTAACGGTCTGCAAAGTCACAAACCCTCAAAGTACACCCTGTAGCGAGTAAAACTCGAAAATACCTGTCTATGCTGCCCCAGAATGCCTCGTTGGAGATTTTTCTTTTTCAATTTTTTTCTTCCTGAGTATGGTGATGTAACGATACCCAGGTCCAAATGGACCAATCCGCGGAGCTCCTCACACACACACACACTCACTCAGCCTTATCTTTTCTCAGCCGCGGTACTCCGCGGAGCTTCGCCGGCACAAATACTCAGCCATATCTTTTCTCAGCCGCGGCTCCGCGGATCTCCGCACACAGCCAGGCTGTGAGTGTGTGAGTGTGTGAGTGTGTGCTCAGGCTGAGTTCCGCGGTGTCTCGCTGTCTCGCAGACCCCACGCAGCAACCAGGAAACGACACCAGTAATCCAGCTCACACTGTCCGCTCCTCGAGCCTCAAAGGGCGGAGCAGCGAGCCCCGCAACGTCCCGCCAACACGGCACCCAGACCCCACGCAGCATTCTGTTTGTCATTACTGGTGTCATTTTCTGGTTGCTAACGCCATTGTAACACATTAACACTGATGTTCAGCTGTAACGGTGGTTGACTAATCAGAACAGAGTGGGCGAGTTGACCAATCAGAGCACAGTGGGCTCATAGGGAGGCAGGGTCAGGAGCTCCAACAAGCCGTTTAGGACAGAGAGTGAATACACATACTATACAGAGATGCTGTATGAGAAAACCAATGTGATTTTGGAACATTGAACAATGTAAATCTATTCTAGTAGACCTCAACAATGGAATTATGATCAGTAGAAATGGCCATGTCATGGGACTTTTAATAACTTCATTTCTACATTTTTCAGGGGCTCAGCAGTCAGACTCAACCTGTCAACACAGACTAATTGTAAGCCAAGTAAACAAAACAAAAATTAAACACTGCTTGGCTGACAGCTTGATTTTTGGCTGCTTGAGAAAGACCAATATCAAATACTAGCACATTATCTGTAGTGTTGCATGTTCTTTAAATTATAAACTGATGTTGACTTTCTCAAGGTTCCATTAAAAAGACAAGAGAGAGCCCATCAGTGGAATCAGACCTGTAGGTTTTCTTTTTCTCCGTAGATCAAGAGGCTTACTTCCAATTAAAATGCCTCAAAATTCTTTTTTGCTTAGTTTGTATGTCTCTGTTTACCTATCATAGGGCACTTAATGGTAACGAACATAACTGAATAAAACAGAAATGATTGAACGATCTTGCTTGTCGGCCACAAACATGCTCTAAAAAAAATGATATAGAAGTTGAGTTTTTTTTTAATTTGCAGGCTATTATGACAAATGCATTCCAACACAACGGAAGCATCCCTAAATGCAGACAACGCCTTTTTCCAGTTTAAGCGCTATCTTGAAAGCGGTTAAACTACCCAGATTCGTATCTCCTTGAGTATCCTTGCTTTATTAAACGTGGTCCTTTGAAGAATGTGGTGGCTCATAACCGTCTTCTGTGTGATATGTTAAAGATTTATTTTGGGTTGAACTGTCAAATTTGTTGGGAAAATACTGAATGTACTCTTCCAATATCAGAGTAGCACATGATAACAAAGGCCCTACGTACTGTAGCTGTGTACATGACAGGATGTATGATTACCTAGAAGAGCATCAGGACTGTTTTAAGCATATGATAGCTATGTGATTAACATGATGATTCAGCCTCTATGGAGATAGATATATGACAAGCATGATCATTTCTGACGTGGGTCTTAGCTAATCTGAACTAAGCATAGAATACTGCTTTGAACCGGTATACATGTATCTTGTGACTGAATAACACCCTCTCTTGTATGTAAAGCATCTGAAGGACACTGTTCTGGAACTAGTTGTCCCATAAGCTCTGTATGTGATGACTACTTCCATTCTTGCAAGGATAATAAATACATGTATCCTGATATTGAAGATCAAGCCGGTGACGATTGATATTTTTCCAACAAAATTCAATTGAGAAAGAAGCTCTGAGAGTATCAGGCACTTTCATCCTTCCAGTTATGGAGCAAGGCAAATCTTGATATCCACAAACTAAAGCAGAAAAGACCTGCTTTAGTCCCAAGTGCTTGAAACTGTCTCAACGCAAAAAGCACTAAACGCTTCACTTAGAAAGGAATTACTTTTTGGGTATTAAAGGGTACTGAGGGTTATCATACATTTTATTTGTTAGGAAGCCAAAATAAACATATCTCTTTGTCTTTGAAGAAGTAATATACATTATATAATGTAGTGTTTAACAGCGTGATTGAGGTCAAGATGCATCCTTTAAAAACAGTACAGCAGTGTATCTGAGGCTATGTGAATACTGCAGATAGAAGGCAATCAGTGAACACACCAACAACTTACATCACCCGTACACAATGTGAAAACGTGGAAATGAGGACGATGAGTCATTGGCCATTCAAGCCCTCTCTGACAGAGAAGAGAGCAACGTCTGACTGGCAGTAAACGAGGAGAGGATCGATTTTCTTGTCCTTCTCCAACTGAGTTCATACACATTAACAAGTAAAAGGCTCCAGGTAACAAATGCAGTGTTGTGCATACACTTAGGGCCATGAATTCTAAAGTGGCAGGTATTCAGAGGAGAGTTGTATTCACTGCTCACATGGAGAAAACACCCCACATACTGAAGATAATTATCTCACCACACAGATAGATATAATTAGGATGATGAGAAGGGGAAGACTTTTCATTTAGTCATGCATCGCACTTAGCTCAGAATTGGTCATCGGCTGTCTCTGGCACGTCTTTGTTACAGTGTCAAGGCCTTTTGTATTGGCAGCAACACACAATATTTCAGGCACCTTATATGGATAGTTAGACCCACTGTATCAACACTCTCAGATGAGTAGTACAAGCTTACAAAACACTGTAGAGAACTAATGGAGGTGCTAATCTGTAGAATCTAATTACTTATACAGTGTTTACTTATATTTAGAATCATTTTCCCCTCCATTTTGTTAAGAGACTCCAAAACTAATCAACAAGTGATTTGAAAGAAAAATAATAGACAACCATTTTAATAATAATGAATTGTTGAATTCATTTTTCATGTAAAGAAAATTGCAGTTTCCTGCCTTTCAAATATGATGATATCCTGCTATTTCAGCAAATGTTTTTGTTATGGACCGACAGAAGATATTGAAAGACATCTTCTTTGCCTCTGAGGTTTTTACTGTTTTTGGTGTGTTTCTATCTTTTATCAGCCCAACCATACTTGCTAAGAGTTGCTACCAGTTATTCCTGTTTGCAATGTTCTCATATGTAAAGAAAACGACAAATGTATTTCTTAAATGCTTGAATACCTGAACTTTAATCTTCAAAAAGTGCTTTATTTTTCTCTTACTGTTTGTGCGGCAGTAGCTCTTTTCACCTAAAACCAGAGCCCAATCTGCTAGGATTGATTAGCTGGCCAGCTCTGTTGCGAATGGTCAACCGCTTAGAGAAGTGGCCCTTTGCCCATCACGTACAATGTGCTGGAGCACTAGCCAATAGAAGTGCAAGCATTACATATTAATGTCACTATAATACGGAAGAAAACTAAGTTGTCAAATGTAGGCATTTAAGGCGGGGGGGAGAGAAATCCCTCCGGAGGGAACTATGGTGTTCTGTAATACAGAGAGTGCCGTTTCTGTAATTTCTAAACAAATCAATCAATCAATTTGAAGTACAGAAGGTTTTAAAGTGCCTCTATATGCTAACACCAGCATGTACATTTCACTTTCACCTCACACTGCATATTTGCCTTGATGTCTTCCCTTACGTCTCATGCCCCCTCCTGGTTTGGCACACCACAAAGTTTTACACCATTGCTTTCGGGCAATTTGTGAAAGCCCATATAGCTTTATTACAAAGTGGGACTTTAATTGCTCCCTATTAAGACCAATAGCTTTGAAGATCACCTCAAGCCCCTGGGAGCTACAGACCCCAATAAAGTGTCATGAAACCGTGTGTTCTGATACAAAGACGGCACACACTAACCTGTACTGAAGAGCTGATTTCAGCAGCAAAGCCTCCGGTTATTGGTGCCTCATGACTGATGAGCAGGCGTCCGGTTTTCACCACCGACTGAAAAACAAAAGACAGACACAGATTATTACAGAATGTTCCCTACTTCATGGTTTAAAGCCCTTAAAATGTATCTTTAAAAATAAAACCGAGAGATTTAGGCACATTTCAGTTCATATTTACCATTTTATCTCAAAGGTGAGCAAAATAGAAAATCATTCAAAAGAAAGTAATTCCTGTATGTGTTCTTCATTACGTCAAGCACTCTAAGTCAAAACACTGACACTACTTCACAATCAGCATCTAAAACCCTTTTAAATATGCAATTCAGTATTAATATCTTTATTAATACTTATACACCACTGCATATGTTGCAGTATAAACATTTTGTAATATATACTGTTCTTATAAATTGTACAATGTGCACATTTTCCTTATGTTCATATCATTTTTACTTTAACCTCTTGTCGAAATAACTATTTTATGTTGTCTTTTTTTCCACCATTTCACTTTTTTTGACTTCTTATGTTTATATAAATATTGTATTAATGTTATTCTAAATAAAGCAACCCAATTCCCCTCCTCAATGAAGAAGTATTACGATTCTAAAAACTCATAACTTTGTTTTGGAATATTCACACAGGTACCTTTTACCAGTTGGTCTCTGCTACATGGCTGTTCAAATGTAACAGTGGTTCCGACTGTGTGCTGTGGTATGTATCTGCATGTGGGCCTGGCTGTGTTGCTATGTGTGCATGTATACAATGGATGCGACACAAGAGTATGAGCTGCTGGGCTGATTTAGGCTGGTATACAGGGCCAACGGGACAATCATGGACATTAGAGGTATCAGTCTCCAAGGCATTTACATTTGGCTTTTCAGCAACCTGACATTACTGCAGAAGGATGCCTCTGCTCCACCCGTTATCTACGACAGCATAAAACCAAAACTGTACTTTAATCTCAATAACTTGCCACTGGTCCAGACCAAAGCTATGTCTGTTCTATGCAACTTCAGCAAACAATTCCTCTCCTCTGTCCAGTTGTTGTATTTTTCAAAAACATTTGGGAAATATCTCTAAACCTTAAGAATCATTACCAATGTCAAAGGACATGTCTTTGAAAACCTTCAATAGGATTTAAAAAAAATGTACAAGTGTGACTGTTATCCTGGTCTGCATTCAGGAATGATTGTTGATTTTACATTGAAATATCACCTCTGAATAATACAGTCTTCATTTGAACACAGCGGGGTAAATATCACACACGTCTCTCTTTCCTCGAAGCCACAAACCATGCCAAACTAAATAAGCCACTGAAAATAGGCACCGTACATCAATATGGCACTGTAAATAGGTCCTGACATTTTTTCCCCTTCAACCAGACCGCATAGTATCAAACACAGGGGCATTCTGGGGCTTCGTGCTGATGCTAAACAGGCAAATGTTTACATTGCTGAGGTCCTGAGTTTGGCAGTGAAGCACTAAATAACTGTGGCTATCTGTCACACACTGGTATCTGGGGCTGAAGAAGTCAGCACTGTGACACTCTGGGGCACCAATACTTGATATGCCTCTTTCTGGTGGGGGACATAAAGAGGATTCTCAGAGCTAAATTGAATGCTCATGTCAGTTTAAAAAGGGGCGAATGAGTTCAGAGCGAACAAATCACTGATTATATGACACTACTTTCAGGAATGTGGAAGTTAATAACAACACTGGAAGACAATAATAACACTTGTCAGCCGGCACATTGAGAAGGAATCAAGCGAGGGGCTGAGAGTAGGGCGATGTCTTAATATGACATGTTGCTGTGAGCTTTGCTTAAGCCTGCGTCACACTGTCCCGAAATTGACACCAGATGGACACACGATAAAGGAAATGTTCAAATTCGGCTCTGATCGTAACAACATCGGGTCATTCGTGAGGGCATCTTAAGCCATCGTATGACCGCCGGTGGAGTTTCTCAGGCTCCGGCAGCAACTTCGTGAGCAGTGGGAAAATCTTTGGCATGCCAAAAAATTGCAGAAAGACCTTGCGAAGGTTCATTTTCGTGTTGAATTTGTGTGTCCATTTTGCCCTTCGTAAGGCCATCGTGAGGGCATCTTGTCAAATCGTGTCATCTTCGTCTTTACTTCGTGTGATCATCGGTGCCATCGGGTATTTTTCGCCTCACGAAGACAATACGAAGGAAACAAGAAGCTGCCCGATGTCGGGGAAGAGAGCCGAATTTGAGTACCTCAAGCGTTTCCCATGTCTCATGTAACGTGGACATATAAAAGGCCAGCCTCAGAGCATCTTCCTCAGTCAGCCCTGAGCAACTCTACAGAGCTCCCAACTCCCAAAGCTTCAATCACAATTAATCACAATTCAGTTCCTGCAGAATGGCATACTTTGATGAGACAACCAGGAAAAAGAAGGCAGCAGCATTGCTTCTTTTTTACATTACATTACATGTTACTTGTTAGACGCGTTTATCCAAAGCGACACAACGACATGCTGACTGCAGTGGGGTTTGAACCTGTGCTCCCCTGATCCCAACACCAAGGCTCTATCCACTGCGCCACACGCCTGTGTCTCTGTCTTTTGATGCACCTCAGAGAACATGAGCAACTCTTACAGGCCCAACACCTCCTCTTACAGGTAAAAATTGTCTTATTTCACTTTGCCATTTGTGACCTAGTTCGAACGCATCGTACTCTCAATACGATGTTGTGTAGCCATCGTGTGGCCTTCGTGTGTCCTGCGGGTATAAACTACTATAAAAATTCACATCTTCGTGTTGCCTTCGTGTGTGGTTCGGGTGCCATCGTGTGGCCTTCTGTAGGCATCGTACTTGCTTCGGCTGTTGCTTGGCTGTTGACCAAGTTCGGGGCCATCTTCGTGCGAAATTCACAATTCCATATTCATGTGTCCATCTGGTGTCAATTTTTCGGGACAGTGTGACGCCATCCTTAGCGCGATGACTCGTACAGGTGTGATAGTGCCCAATCCTTTACCCAATTAGCCCTGATGCTCTTACCCGGTCCCCATCTCGCACACACTCTACGCACAGATACTGTTGACATCATTTCTAATTTACACTGACACAAGCATCAGTCTGATATCCCTGTTGCTCTTCTAACCGAGGGGAGGCCCATGATATTGCTAGCTGCATTAGGAGTGCATTCTTCAGATGCTTTGGACACAAAAGAAACCTGCCACTGTTTTTACAATATCGTGGGATAGAATTTCAGGCTCAGGGGCCTTGGGAAAACGTGTTGCCCAGTTGATAGACCTGACCCAAAAACATTCTGCATAAAAACACAAGTGACAGTAACCTGCAAAGTGGCACTAATTCAGTAGGCCAACTAGTGGTGCATGTGAGCTTATCTCAATATGTAAAACAAATAAAAAGGCAAAATTCAGTAATATCTGTCACAGCGATATGGAGTTTACATAAACACAATTCCTCTCAATTCTTTCTCAGTGATGTAGTCAACTGTAGCCAACACATTGCATGCTTAAGTCAACATGCTGTGTGCGCACATTGTTAATGCTAACATGCTAATGTGTATTAGATGTATTCTTTACTACATCTTTGCTCTTAATTAAGTGTTTAGAAGAAGGGCTGAGTAAATTAAAGTAATTAGTCGAGAATAGGGGCTAATGGAAATGTCATTATTTTTTGCCTAATTTACGACACAAATGAAAGTATTGGACATCAAATATTTTGACCTTAAAAGAAGCTAGAAGAAATGACGAGGCCTAACTGAACATATTAGGTTTTATTCTCTAGACAACATAAATATACTTGCCCATATCTAATGGTAATCTCTCCAATGGTTTTCTGAAATCTTCACTTTAAAGGGGCTCAATGATGATCATTTTCAGGTTCATATTGGTATTTAGATTTTTCGATTGTGACATGTCTCCATGCTTTAATGTTCAAAAAGCTCTTTATTTTTCTCATACTGCCTGTGCTGCAGCACCTCTTTTCACCCTCTGTCTGAAACCAGAGACTCCCTCTGGAGGGAACTTTTTAGCCTTTGCAGACCATTTACATGCACACAAATCCTATATAAAAACACACTACAGGAAAGGGTAAACCCCAAAAGCATAATAGGGCCCCTTTAAAACCAAAATGGCAACGTCAATGTGGCCCATGAGCAAAAATAACAGGGCCACCAAAGTCCTTACAATGCATTCTCTTGGCAAAATGGATATAGGTTTTTACATATGTCCTTTTTTGTGAAAATATTAGTCTCCCCACTTCAATGTGTTCAAAGTCTACATGAAAGGGCAAATGTAATACTTCTGTTGTAAGATTGCAACATATTCATGGTCTGCCTTTCACCTCAACTGTCCAACTCATTCACCTCGCCTCACCGCCTGAGGTTTAATTTCACACAGTTTTATGAGTTAAAGAAAAATACTTTCAGTAGTTATTGCATCTCTGACAGGAGACCAACTCCTACATAGTAATTGTGGCAGCAGCTGTTAACCCAGTTGCTTCCGACTGCTGGATGTTTTTTTTAGGACACAAATATCCACTCTTATTGTGCGGTTTGACCCTTTTCTCAAAAGTCAACCAGTCATGTTATTTGCCCTTGACAGCTACCTTTCATGTCAGTAAAATTGGGACTCAGAATGGGGGCAAAGACATTATTTTTAGGACAGTGGTGGAGCCACAGGAAGTACACTGGACACTGTAAGAAGATGATCAGTTAGATGCATCCAAGAGGAGAAATGATATACTGTGAGAGTGTAGAGTGTAAAGTTAAATATGTCATAAATCTTCCAATACAACCCTAGGAAGATTTGCTGGTAGGGCGATCTCTATGTTATTGTTTCACACTGCGGCCAAGGCCAATGAGTTTATCACAGAGTTGCTGATGTGTGAACCAGATAGTGATCCCACACTAAAACAAAACCGCAGTGAGAATTGGGTTGAGAAGAAAAAATAACAGACAATGAAGCAAAATTACAGTAGATGGTGAGAGTGGAAAAGTGTAGACGATCTAAAACTGAGAAGGTGAGTTAAGGATAGAGGCTGAAACTAAGGGCGAGGCTGAATGTGGG